TCTTGATTTTATTGGATGTTTTAGCTGATAAAGCGATCGCGTAAACACTAATTTTATTTCTGATTATGTTACAGGAAGGTATTAACTTAAGATTAACTTAATAATCCCTCCAAACCTTCATTTACCCAAGACAGAAAATTTCAAAACATTTCTGAACTTCCACAGCGAATAATAAACTCACAAAAGATAAATCCTTGTGATTAACCAGAAATTAATATTACATTTATTGAATCAACCATATTAGGTAAGGAAGGGACTAGATTATTCAATGTGTATAAAGAAGAAATACTAAAAATAATTTAATAAAAGTACCTAATACAGTGGATTTCATTTATTACGACCTTGGTTATAGCGAGCGTTGTGCTATAGCGACGTCATATGTAATTCCGTTGAATTTAAAGCATAAAATTCATGTGGCTATAGCGACTTCGGATGTAACGCCGAGTTCGGGTGTAACGACTTTTTTTAATGAATCATTTGTAACAAATCCCTAGTAATCCCATGCTGATATAGCGACCGGAGTCGGCCGCTAAAGACACAAAGAGCTTTCTTATATTTTGTTTACATTCACACAAAACAAGTGTGGTGACCTATACCGTTGTTTCTGAGTAGCAAGTGTGCTTAGTAAACTTTTGAATAAGTGTGACTTCCAGATGTACATTTACTGTTAAAAAAAGGCGAAAATTGTTTCAAAATTGAAAAACAGTGTGTGTCTGTATCTTCTTTAACTTTGCCTATAACGACTTCTGGATATAACGACGAAATTACAGTGGTCCCTTCGTTGTCGTTATACCCGAAATCCACTGTATTTAAAAAAAGGCTTTAAAATAAAAACTGGAATCACTGAATTAATATTTCTTAATAGGTGTATGCTTTTAAGTTTTTTTTTTATAGAACAGAATTCTTAAGGCGGTTGTCCACATTGCCGATCAAACAGTTTTCGGGTGATCGAAGCCGATTGATCCGTATCGGATCGTAAATAGTACGTCCACTGAAACCAAATTGGATTTTTAATTCCGTACAAAGTAATTAGTGTATTTAATAAACGAATCTCATCGCCTATAATGTATTGCTCCTCATGAGTACATAATCGACCCGATCCTTGCTATACTTGCAACATCTAGTCACGATCGCGGTAAGCTGATCTTTATCGTTACGACTTCAGTCTAGTCGGATTCGTAGACATCCGACCTTAGTGCGCGCATAGTACTCGAACTTAATCAGTTTTATTTTTACTACGTAACTGTTAGGTACCTGTAAAAAAACATGTTTTTTAAAAATTTCCATCAAAATATAATAAATATTGCAAATCTTCTTGCAAGAGATTCTACATTCAAAACCATTTTATCAATTCTTTTGTTCAAAATATCTCTTGAAGCAAGGTTTATGGGATTGTTTAAAATTTGATAAAATCACTTTCGGGGTATGTTGACGTAGATGCAAATTGATTAGCACTTTAATAACGATGTCGATATTAGAATGAAGATTCGGGCTATAGAACCGTCGTCTATGTGAACTATTCTGTCCAGACGTTTCGTCAGCTACTACGGCTGACATCCTCAGTGGTAGTGCTGCGTTGGCAACGGGAACGTAGATTATATCTCGACTGGACGACAGTCGCTGTCGAGACTTCGAGATATATTCGAGGATGTCAGCCGTAGTAGTAGCTGACGAAACGTCCGGACAGAATAGTTCACTTAGACCACGGCCCTATAGCCCGAATCTTCATTCTACTGTGGATTCCGGCCGTGAAAGCCTTTGTTCTTATGATGTCGATATTACGATGGCGGTTCAATAAGTACCCGTGTTAGAAATGAAGATACCTTTTTTTTAAAGTTTTTTTTTTATTTTTCAACTTTTAGAAAGATACACTCCTATCAACGACCCTGCCATTTTTTTTAACCCTCCAAAAAATAAGATTTGTCGAACTCTCAAAAATCCCGCCTGTCTCGGCGATGACTTTCTCGTTTGAGCTAAATTTCTTTCTCGCTAGTCATTTCTTCATGGTAGGGAACAAGATGAAGTCACAGGGAGTCAAATGGGGGTGTGCGGCAGCAAATTCATAACGTAATTCATGCATTTTGGCGGCAACAACTCCTGATGAATGTGCCGGTGCGTTATCGTGTTGAAAACGCACCTTCTTTTTCGTCAAATGCGTCCGTGTCTCCTTCAATTTTTTGTCGAAGCGGTCCAATAACTCACTGTAGTATTGTCCAGTGATCGTTCTTCCTTTTCCTAAAAAATCCGTAAAATGATTTCCTCGGTAACAACGTTTGCCAGGCTTCCTGGTCGCTCCTATCAAAAACGGATCTTTGCCCACGTTTAAATTCGTTGAAGCAATATCTAACTGTGGTCGTAGATGGCGAAATGTCTCCATAAACAGTATCCAACTTTGTTTTCATCTCCTCGCATTTTTTCCCATCCAAAAACAAAAAGCGAGTTACCGAACGATACTGCTCTTTTTCCATCTTAGCGAAAATAACGAAACACGTCTCAGTCGAATGGCTGCTAAATCCAAACTAACCTATCAATCAGTCTGAAATTCATTTTGGCGTGGTTTGATAGATGGCAGCACACGATTACAACACCAATTTCCCTCACGAACGTCCTCTGTCTTCAAACACGGGTACTTATTGAACCGCCCTCGTATTTTTGATTTGTAACGTTTCGTGCTGGAGAGAACTGATCACACACTCACTTCATATACGCTCACGGAGAACATTTGATCTCCCTGTATACTGACGAAAGAAAATTGGTCATTCAAATACAAACACAAATCTGAAAAATAATGAAATTTTAATTGAGCTGCTTCGTAAAACTTGTACCTACATCCCAACTTTTCACTATCGCGCTCGTATACAATTGAACCACGTTTTCATTTTAACATTTTCATAAATAATAAAAGGACGCGAATATCATGTTTACCTTAATTTTTTTTTGTTGATTTAATAAAACTTTTTTTCCGTCGGTAAATATTATATCGCGCAAAATGGATTGTATTATATATCATTCCATTAGGAGCTTTTAATGTATTATTTCGTGACATATACAGAAAGGAAAGCCCGCAGAATGCTGAATACATCATTAATTCATCTGAAAGCGTTGTAACGTAGTACATCAGCATGTAATAAAATATGAAATTCAGGTGACGAGGTAACACCGATTTTCAAAGCATCCGGTACTAAAAATGGCAAAATTAATAAAAGGCATTAACGTAGTTTATTTCTGTTAGCGGTGTAATCGTTAATAGATAGAGTCTACGTTGTATGCGGACAGAATATAATTATAGTCCAGTCGGTAGAGAATTTTCTCGACATAAATTTGTTACCGGATGGGGGTTGTTCCTTGTTGTGGGCGGGGAAAAATTAAGCATCCCTGTATATTTGTAAACTTCGAAAAATTGTGCTTTAACAAATGCGGGAGGTCAAAGTTGTAAAAAACAGATTTTTAGATCTAGTAAGCAAGGTATGCCTTTTGGAAAGAAAAGTTTCAAATAAAAATTGTAAAGAAATTCAAAACCTTCAATTTGAGTCGCGGTACGATCAATTTTGTCAATTGGTTACTGCACAAATCACAAAAAATCGTCAAAAATTGCCATTTCTTATATATATTGATTGTTTATTGTAAAAATTACTTTTTTAGTGGTTTTATCACATTGAAATGAAGGTTTTTAAATTTGAAATCGAATTAGTTTTTGTGGGCGTAAATTGGTCAATTTGTTAGTGAAATATTCTTAATTGTTTATCCCAACAGACATGAATAGTTATTGCCATAACTTTTTTTTCAGTAAACTCTTTCAGTTGTACATAGATTCAATCTCTTCGTAAAGGTGGAGTTCTTCATATCCCGTTAGGGGCAAATAGAAAAATTCATTATATCCTCTTATTTATTGCTGTAAAAAAGGGGGTCATTTTTCTTTATAAACAATTACAGCTGGAGCGACTCCTACGTAATCTACGAATTTTTAACCGAGGAATATGAAACGGTGACTTCGAAACAATCATTAAAAGAGCAAACTAATCTCCTACGACCAACAGGAATCGAATTAACTTTTTTTTTAAATCACAGATTAATTGTTTTTAACTATTAAGAAATGAATAAATAAGGGGATAAAAATTAATTTTTTAATTTGCCCCTGAAGGGATATGAAGAACTCCACCTTTACGAAGAGATTAAACCTATGGGCAACTAAGAATGCTTTCTGAAAAAAAAGTTACAGCAATAACTATTCATATCTGTTGGGATAAACAATTAATATTTCACTAACAAATTAACCAATTTACGCCTACAAAAACTAGTTCGATACCAAATTTAAAAATCTTTATTTCAATGTGATAAAATCACTAAAAAGTCATAAGAAATTGCAGTTTTTGACGATTTGTGCAATAACTAATTGACAAAATTGATCGTACCGCGACTTAAATTGAAGGTTTTTGATTTCTTTACAATTTTTATTCGAAACTTTTCTTTCTAAAAGGCATACCTTGCCTTCTAGATATAAAAACCTGTTTTTTGCCAACTTTGACCTTCCCATTTGTTAACGCACAATTTTTCGAAGTTTAAAATTATACAGGGATACTTAATTTTTCCCCACCTATACAACAAGGAACAACTTCCGTCGGGTAAAAAAATTTATGTCGGGAAAATTCTCTACCGACTGGACTATTAATAATAATAATAAAAATTGAAAATAGTTTTCTTTTTAGTTTTCTAAAATGACAGCAATTCAAATGTTATTTTTAAAATTTCGAATAGTCTACGAAAGTTTCCAATACTTTTCAATTTTCGTCCGTCACCTTCCATTCAGGAGCACTGCAGTCGACTACAGACGGCAAATAGAAAAAGCTAACAATGAACTATAAAAGCGCCTTGACGCTACCGACGGACGCCTGCGCCATCAGCGTCACGACGGCATAATACGTGATGTGTGTGTTTATATGTATGTATGCGAAGTTGAAGCAGGCAGGAGCTTTGCGTTTTCATCATCGTCAGTTCAAACCATGACTGACGATCGTTCACACGCGACGCGTTCAAAAGGACGCTCGGCGTCGATATGCGCCACGAGTTCCACGAGCATGGACGCATTGCACTCTCTCGCGGCCGCGAAAGGTGCAAGTGCAACATCAACAGACCACGGCACGTCTTCGGGTCGACCACGAAGACCTGCGGCCCGTTCACAAAGCGCAAAATTAGTTTCCGGAAGGTCCATTAAAAGGAAAACAGTACAGGCTTCCGGTTCTGCATATGCCGAAGTAGGCAAAAGCCACTGCAACAGTGAGCCCAAACTAGCCCATGATCAAGCACGTGTCACCCCCGACGTTTCTCCTAACATTAGAAGAAAAGGATCAACTAGACGAGGCACGTCAGTGTATCAAAGGAAATCCACAACATTGTTAGATGTTCCGGTCGAGTCGAGAAGCTCTTCGGCCAATAACATCGAAAGAAGGGAAGGCGAAGATGAAGATTCATACCGATTAAGATCATTTAGCTTCACATCTAAAGGTAGCGTTTCTTTCAACATCTTTTTAAGATATTCTGCCATAATTAGGTACGGATAGGTGTTTTATGAGCTTGCCTTTAAATAGCTCTTTCGATTTGACCTATTCTTGAGTAAGTGAGACTGGCTATGACGTGCTGAAGGGATCCAATAAGTTTAAAATCATGATCCACGTCTGGCAATTTCGATAGATTACTGACCAAGAACTGATACTGTAGTGAAAACACAATTCGCATCCGTGAGTCGTCATTGACTATGACAATTTTCAATTGTTCCGTGTTTCAGGAAAAAAATATGCTAAGATGTAGCTATGTTTTATAAACAATAACTAATTAAGAAACTATCACTCCAAGTATCTTTAAATTGAATTCAAATCTTTGATCACACGTATTTAACGATCGGTTACTTTTCTGATTCTAGAAAGGAAAAAAATGTTAGAAGCGTTCGAAATGAGGTGTTACATGCGAATGATGACGATACCGTAGATAGAAAAGGTTAGAAATAAAGAGATATTAGAAAGAATAGGAGAAGAGAGAACTTTATGGAAGACAATAATAATTAAGCGAGATAGGGTGGTAGGACACGTTCTTAGGCATAAAGGGCTAGTCAGAGACATATTAGAAACAGAAACGGGAGTTAAGAAGGTAGAGGTAGACCTACATAGATTAGTTCACAAATAGTTAAGGATGTGGGATGTTTTAGTTTTAGGGAAGTGCTTCTATAACTTCAGGATAGGAACCTTATTACTGCTGGATACCTACTGTTTTATTCCAAATTCGTTTTCGTTGCAATAGATTGTTATTAGATACAATCGCCTCCAGATAATATTAATGATCACATGGCCTAAACCATGCACACTATTATATGAAACCAAAAGCTTACCAAGCAAATTGTCAAAAGGAAAATGACTTCAGTTACTACTATGCAAATAATAACAAGTATAGTTACATGGATTCAGATGGTGGACAGTGCTGACAGTTACGCTATTAATCAAATTTATAAAACCAAATGAAATTTTTCCATCAAGTAGTTTTCTTAATAAGAGGAATATGTTGAGAAAGTAATGGACATTTTTATGGTATCATTAACAATATACAATTTTAGTCAATTAAAAATTTTAATAAAATCGTATCGAAATCGCATATAAAAATCTAGATTGAACATGACAGGAAAGATAAAAAGAACTTTCATGAATTGTCTTTCCTAAAATAGTTTTTACTAAAAGTATTAACTATAAAAGATACATTCAGGAATTTTTTCAGATGGGTATTTCGCTTCAATAGTTTCGAAAATAGAGAGTATTAGACGATGTGATAACGAGTTTCATAAAGGAAATATCTCGTGACTGAAGAGTATAAAGCAAACATTTATAACTTTTAATAATTTTAGGCTTGTGTTGCTATTGACCTTTTAGGAGTTCAATGATGCGGGTTATTCACTTCTTTAGGTCAGACCAGAATTGATATTTTAGGATATCAGTGACTTTATTGATATTGATGGTCAATCAAGCATAGAGGGAGATGTCTTTGAGGGAACCGCGAAGGATTTTAACAATTGTGGTTGATTTGTTGAATTGTACCTGTAGGGTAATTTGACTTTGCTTTGATGTTCTCTAATTCGTTAGCTTGTCGCGCTTTCGGGTTTCCCTATGAAATTTTTTCACAGTGGTGTAAGATATTTTATCCTCTTGAGGTGTGCAAGTGTGATATGTTATCAATGAAAGTTTTTAAGTCCTGTGCGATCTCTTTCAGGGGTTTAAACACTATTATTCGGGTATTGTTTCTGTTGTGGATTTGTCCAAATTATTCTATGTGCCTTCATGTACATGGAAAACCATTATTATGGTTTATGTGTTGAATCCTTGCACAGTGGTGTAAGATATTTTATCCTCTTGAGGTGTGCAAGTGTGATATGTTATCAATGGAAGTTTTTAAGGTCTGTGCGATCTCTTTCGAGGGTTTAAACACTATTATTCGGGTATTGTTTCTGTTGTGGATTTGTCCAAATTATTCTATACGCCTTCATGTATATGGGGAACCATAATTATGGTTTATATGTTGAATCCTTGATGTGTGTTTGTTTGATACTTTTTTTGATGGCTTCCAGTGCCTTCTGAAAAGTGTGAAGGAGTTTTGGCAATGATGGTTAATTTGTTGGATGTTAATGTGACTTTACTTTGATGTTATCTGATTCGTTGGTTTATTTTGCTTCCGGGTTTTCCCATGTAAACATTTTTGCAGTGGCTTGGAATCCTTCATTCTCTCGAGGCTCGAAGTGTGATATTTTATCATTGAATGATATTAAAATACATCCAATTTTTTGAAAGACTTGGACATTTTTCGGATAGTGTTTCTGTTAAGTATTCCTTCCATTTGTTCTGTTCATGCGTGTTGTATGTTTCTTTGATATTTTTGGTTTTCATAATTTCCAGTGTCTCGCGATGCCTTCGGGATACTGTGAAGAGCTTTTGACTGATATGTTTAATTGTATCTGTAAGACAACCTTTTCATCATCACTGTGGTATTCCGCTGAAGCTGGTCAAGTGCCTTAATTTGACTTTGATGTTCTTCAGTTCCCTGGCTGACCTGTCAGATCTTTTTTGAAGGATTGAACATCCTTTCCGTTTAGGATTCGTTCAATTTGTTCTGTGTGTCTTCATATTCATATATATATAGAGGAATAGCATAGTTACGACAGAAGTATGAAATCCTTAAGGTGTTTGTTCGTTACTATTACTTTTTTGTATGCTTGTATCTTCGTTTGCTACTAGTACGCTCCTTACAGCGTTCAATTCTGTTTGGATATGTGTTTCATGTATGACGAATAAATCATCATGTATATTGATGAAAAAAAAACTTTTGGGTGTTTCATTCCCACCAGCCACTAATGCTGGTGGGCGGGCGTCCCTCCGGACTATGCCGGAAGGTAGGGCGGAAGGCCCTCTTCAGCATCCTTTCGGGAATCATGATAATAGGTGGGTGGTAGTTCAGGTGAGAAAGATGAGACGGACAAATGAAGACAGAAGAGGATGAAATATTATCTGTGGAATATTACCGCCCCAGCATTTGCCTAAATGATCCAAGAAAACCATACAAAAACTCGGACCAAGGCAAACGGACCCGGAATCGAACCGGCGTCCTCCCGAATGCTAAGCAATGGTCTAGACCTCTAGGCCATGCCGCTCAGTGTATATTGATGTAGTTCAAGAGCCTATTTAAAGGCACCCCACTCGATGTTGTAGGTTAGAAACCATCAATTAAGTACACCTTCCCCCCTCCCCATGGAAGAGGAATTTAGAAAATTATTTCTTCAAACGTGTCACTATCTAACTCTTAACTTACAATTAGCATGCACATGAATGAGAAGATGGAAAACAGTGATATACAGACAGATGAATAGACTGAAACCATCAGGATTCCCCACCTTATTTGTCGGTACCTAAGGGCCTTCCCATCCGGCGCTACGTAAAACCTACTCCAATTTAATTATGTTGAATTATAAATGATGAGCACGTACGAATTATAAATTACAAAAATGTCTTTAAATACAAAGTAAATAACTTTAAAGCTGAAACAACTTTGTCTTTCCATTGTCGTAAAACTCCGAAACCACTATATGAATTTTTATGTGGTTTTCACTCAATCCGGAGGAAGTAAGTTACGTTTCAACATCACTATAGCAAAGAGTGATGAGAAATGTTGCCACCTAAAACCCACCGAACGTTTATGATGCAAACTAGCCGCGTTATTAAAGCTGTACAGAAAATTTCCCAATATACAACACTACTTAATATTTTTCAAAAATGACACGATATGACTCAGAATTGATCTCCCAACTCCAGTAGCTATAAAAATAACGTTAAAACTGTGTTAGGTATATTTGGCGTCAACGTTGTGTTTACTATGACCTTGTATTTCAACACTTGCTTAGGGTTCTGTTAAGAATCAAATGAAAAAGTCGCCGTTTCGTTCTCGTTTGTTTTTGATGTTATTTTCAGTTAACCTTAACCAGGTTTCAACAGGCCGATGCGATAAATGTAAATCTTGAATGCAAACAATTAATAGATTATTATTTGATGTTCAAAATTTAAAATATTATTATACACTTTACCAAAAAAGTATCCAAGATTGATATTTCGCAAGTACCTGGTGATTTAATTTTTATTATTTTGCAATCGTGTTACATAGTATCAACAAATTCATATTTAGGTCACTGGTACAAAGTTGGTAGGTACATCTAAAGTATTTATTTGAACACCTACCTACTACTGGGTTAGTAAGTCAGTTAGCGATTGTTTAAATAACGGAATTTATAATAATAATCAAGTAGTGGCGAATCGAATTCAAGATCACGAAGATACAAGGTTGTGTCACTGTCACCTGTCACTTCTAGGTTCCCCAATTATTTAATAATATAGACGATGATTATTATTATACTGTTAGGTTATTAGTTAACTATAGCTAAATTGTTGGCTAGTCATTCTAGGGTTGTTCGGAAAGTCATTTCGTTTTTTTTTGTGGAAATGAAAGACAGTTTTCGTATAGTAAACAAATACTTTATTAAATTATATATTGACCGTTCCGATCCAACACCTTTTGCCATCTTTCTGGTAGTAGCATAATTCCAAGCTCATAAAATTTTTGGTCTTTGCTGGCAAAAAACTGATCGAGGAGGTTTTTGACCTCCTCATTTGAGGTGAAGGTTTTACCTTCTAAAAAATTTTGGAGTGACCGGAACAAATAATAATCCGATGGTGCCAGGTCTGGAGAATATGGTGGGTGTAGCATTGTATCCCATTCAAGCTGTAAAAGCTTTTGGCGAGTGACCAAACTTGTGTGAGGTCTCGCGTTGTCTTGGTGAAACACTACACCTTTCCTGTTGATTAGTTCTGACCTTTTCTGTTGAAGTGCATCATTCAGTTTGTCCAGCTGATGACAGTAGACTTCCGAATTAATCGTTGTGTTATCCGGTAAAAGCTCAAAAAAAACGATTCCTTTAAAATCCC